CAGACAGTACCATACTGTACTGTCATTATACATAGTGACATTCATAGTGACTGTCATTATACATAGTGACTGTATGGCATCACTATGAGGTGGGACCTGCTCAGTGATACCTAACACACACAGTAAATGGTATACTACATAGTTCTTGTTGAAGGCAGCAGCGGCTTCAAGCCCAAAAGGAGATGAAGAGGGAGGAGACGGCCATAATCGCTCAGGTTTGCCCCACCCAGGATGGCTGTGATCCTTTGGCCAGAGAGCATGATGCTATGTACATGGGAGTTGTGTTGTGTTGTGTTGTGGTGGTCTCTGGAGAAAGGCGACTCTGCCTCCAGGAGCCAGGGAAGCCACACTTGGCCTTGGGTTAAAAGGCAGCAGTGGCTTCATTGTTTTTGTTCAGACATTCCTCTAGGTCATATAGCCCTGGTGTACAAGTTGCCGTCCCGTGGTCACTTGTGGTTGCTGTGAGGCTGAACACTGTGACACGGATGTGTCAAATGCATTATTGGTTGACTACCCAGTGCGGACTGAGAGTGGGGTGGAGCTCCCCGAGTAAACCAGCGTGGAAGGAGGAGTGGCGTCCACTTCCATAACAGCTTGCCTCCAGAAACCCTATGAACCTGGAGAGAAGATGAAAGGCACCCAAGCGTCGAGGACTCTCCTTCATAGGGTCGCTATGAGTCGCCTGCAACTCGACGGCACTTAACAACAACAACAACAACAACAACAACAACAACAACAACAACATAGTTCTTGTATAAAATGCAGAGTTTTATTTTGGGAAGTGTAATTTACACATTAGGTTTTAAATAGAAGATTATTGTGCTACCAAAGAGAATGAAAGTGCAACCAATGGCAGAGACAAAGAATATTGTAAGAGGAACTTATCAATCAGACTTAAAGAATGCCCGACTCTGACTAGGCACCCTGGAGAGCTGCGACTTCAGTTCAGGCCTTAATTCCTTGTTTTGTATTGTATCTGAGGCTCTGTTACTCAGCTAAATCCGCAAACTATGCCCTAGAGGGAAGGCCATAGCTTTTGACAGTGGTAGCATAGTCCGTGCACAAGGAAGAATCCAAGACACTAAAGAGCTGAACAGAAGATTCCAAAAGGCAGCACGGAATGACAAAGCAAAATACTACAATGAAATGTGTGAGGAGCTAGAGTTGGAAAATCAAAAGGGCCGA